TAGTCTAGCTTCATTAGGCTTTTAAAACAACTTTTCTATAATTCTTGTAGCCTGGATGTTTCTTCCTTTTTTTTTTTAAGATATTTTATTTATTTATTTGGCAGAAACACAGCGAGAGAAGGAACACAAGCAGGGGGAGTGGGAGAAGGAGAAGCAGGTTTCCTGCTAAGCAGGGAGCCCAATGAGGGGCCCAATCCCAGGACCCTGGGATTATAACCCGAGCTGAGGGCAGACACCCAACGACTGAGCCACCCAGGCACCCCTGGATGTTTCTAATTCTTTTTTTTTTTTTAGGATTTTATTTATTTATTTGACAGACAGAGATCACAAGTAGACAGAGAGGCAGGCAGAGAGAGAGGGGGAAGCAGATTCCACACTGAGCAGACAGCCCAATGCAGGGCTTGATTCTAGGACCCTGAGATCATGACCTGAACCAAAGGCAGAGGCTTTAATCCACTGAGCCTCCCAGGTGCCCCGGATGTTTCTAATTCTAATGTTTCATTCTCAGCCCAACACTCCTAGATAAAATCTCTATGCTTTTTAGGCACTGTATGTACAGAGCTTACCTCCTCTCAGATGCCCTAATGTATGACCTATTAGCAGCCCAGTTATCCATTGGATCTACATCCGATTCTTGAACAATGTGGGAATTACCATCTTGCCTTATACCATCACCATGACTTCTAATCACATACTCACTTCCTTAAAAAAAAAATCACTTGAAAACATCCACAGTGAAGGGGAAGGGGCCGTTCTCACATAGTCTTGATTATAAGATCATAGATTCCTCGTTCTGCTGACGGTATGATAAAACACTTGAGTTTCTTAAAATGCTATAGCTCTTCTTTATCACATAGTAAAAAGCTATGAAACCAATTATAAGCCTATTATAAATGGGCTTTGATGACAAAACTTAGTTTAATTCCAGAAAGCACCTACAAAGATAGAGAAAGAGATGACTTTTACCTTGGAATTCAACCTAAGTCACCGGGGCCTGATCCATGAGGTGAAGAGGTCCATGTAGATGGTTTCTTGAATTCTTTTCTGTGGTAACAGTTCATGATGCCACGTGCAACGTGCAGAATCAATGTAGTTCTTCCTTTGCAGACGCGCCAGTGACAGCCACACCTGTGTGAAGACAAAACACGATGAGATGATGTCCATTTACTTTACCAGCAGAACAAGAGGATCCCCTAAAATGACTGGACACACTCATAGCAGTTTCGGTTTAGGATTATCTGTAAATGGAAGGTACCTTCACAGAACTCCAGCTTGACGTGTCAAAACTACAGAGGTGATGATTCATTTGTTGATCTTTTCAATTTGTTTTCCTTATATATATCAGGACTATTCTTTGTTTTCCCAGGTTCTGGCTGGATTTGACTCCTTCAGATGTGATGTGGAATCCCTCAGACACAGGCTGGGCAAAGTCAGCATGGAGTAGTGTCTTTTCTCCATGGATCCAGGGAGCATGTGTATTTGCACATTATTTGCCTCGTTTCGAGCCAACTTCCATCTTGCAAGTAAGGCCCAGGGCACAAGAGGTCACTATTCAGGAATGCTTTAGCAGTGTCCCTGACAGGACTGGTGAATAAAGCAACTTGCGGAAATCAGAGTAGACAACATGATTTAAGATATTTCATACCAGGAAAGTCAATTATCCTGAAAAGATATACAAAGGAAAGGTGTGAATGCATTTATGTTGGAATAAACAACGTTTAAGTTGTGCTGTGCCTACCATAAACATTCAGGAACTTATTTTTAAAGTTGTAGTAAGACTAAGAGTTTACTTCTAAATTGCAGACACTTTCCAAGTTTCCCATCACAGTCTTCTGTTCAGCACCAACTGCATACCGAATGCTTATACAGAATGATATGACCAGGTAAGCAGGTTGGTAAATAGGCACTTAGTGGGGTTAGAGAAGAAAAGGAAGCCATAAAATAAAGGCTATTTCTGCCTAAAAACATAGTTCCACATTGGTAGGTATGGAGTTTAACAATCTCTTGTCCCCCTTTTTCTTCTTGCTCTCATTCTTTAAGTTGTAATTGTTAGGTTCAGGGCAGGCTCCCCCAAGCAAGAAGAGGAAAAGGAGGGTTCAGCCATGGGTGTACCCCTTTGGAGCCCAGTGGTTATGGATAAAAGGTGTTTAATCTTTTAGATGATCAATGTTGCCTGAGCTGAGAAACAGAAAAATAACCCCTATTTGGAACTCTAGTCCAGCAAATAGGAGAAAGGATAGATGTCTTTTGCTCTATTACTGATTCCATTTGAAAGGGTGCATTGGTAAATATTTTTGAATTTAAAATTTTTAAAAACTTTTTGAATAGGGAGTATTTCATACAACATAAAATTCAATAGGTGTGTAAAAATACAGAGTGAAAGTTCTTTTTCTAAGCCTTGTCCTCCATCTCAGTTCTCCGTGAAATCTGTGCAAACACAAGCCAATATGCCAGTATTCTCACCCTTTTATAAACATAAATGGAGGGGTGCCTGGGTGGCTCAGTGAGTTAAAGCCTCTGCCTTCAGCTCCAGTCATGGTCCCAGGGTCCTGGGATCAAGCCCCGCAGGGAGTCTGCTTCCCTTCCTCTCTCTCTGCCTGCCTCTCTGCCTACTTGTGATCTCTGTCAAATAAAAATAAATAAATAAACAAAACAAACACACAAAAAACATAAATGGAAACATAATATGTTCACAGTTCTGTACCTTCCTTTTTTTGCCTAACAATATATACTGGAACTGTGTGCTATCCAGTTCTATCCAATATGGTAAATATTGCCCCATGTAATTACTTAAATATAATTTTAAAAATTTTTTAAAGATTTTATTTATTTATTTGATTACATTTAATTTTAATTAATTAAAAATTCAGTTCCAAAGTTGCACTAGCTATGCTTCAAGCGCTCAATAGCCACATAGGGCTAGATGATACTGCAGTGGATAGTGCAGATAATAGAACACTTTGATTGTGGCAAAAATTTCTGTTGGACAGCACTGTCGAGGAGTTTTCCTTATTCTTTTTTTTTTTTACTGCTCTATAGTATTCCATTGCATAATATTCCACAGTCAATTTAACCACACAACTGGTAAATTGTTTCTTAAAGATTTTATTTATTTTTTTGACAGAGATCACCAGTAGGTAGAGAGGCAGGCAGAGGGAGAGGGGAAGGCAGGCTCCCTGCTGAGCAGAGAATCCGATGCAGGGCTCGATCCCAAGACCCTGAGATCATGTCTGAGCCGAAGGCAGAGGCTTTAACCTACTGAGCCACCCAGGTGCCCCAGTATCTGGAACTCTTAAAATATCTCCTTTCGTAATTCCTTGATACTGGAGCCAAATGTTCTTTAGATGACAGGGTGGGACTTTATATATTTTTTATTTATAATAATGTAAAAGTAAGATTTTACATTTAGAATTCTTCTGCCTTTCAAGTTTCTTTTGGGGACACAGCTCATTTCCATCTGGAAAGTGCCAAATAAGTATTATACCCCTATTTTCCACACAAGCCACATCTCAGACTTGAAGGCTCTTGGTGGATGTACGTAAAAGAAAGTAAAGGGTTTCATATTTAAAGATAGCTAAAAGTTATTTAAGGCAAAATGTGGTACATGAGTTAAATAACCAGCCTGAAAAACGTTAATCTGGGTTTTTATTTTTTTTTTAAGATTTTATTTATTTATTTGACAGAGAGAGATCACAAGTAGGCAGAGAGGCAGGCAGAGAGAGAGGAAGGGAAGCAGGCTTTCTGCTGAGCAGAGAGCCCGATGCGGGGCTCGATCCCAGGACCCTGAGATCATGACCCGAGCTGAAGGCAGTGGCTTAACCCACTGATCCACCCAGGCACCCCAATCTGGGTTTTTAAAAATTGGATTGAACTCACTGGACAGACTGCAGAGAAGTGTTGTGACGAAGAGGGCAAGATCTGGAGTGTGATTGCTGAGATTTAATTCCATCTCAGTCATACACTGTGTTGCTTAAACTCTGCACCTTGGTTTCCTCATATGAGCACGGTAATAGTACTAACCAGATAGGACTATTGTAATGACTAAAGAAAACAACATATGTGAAGTACTTAGAGCTGTAGCATTTATTAGTTGGAATGCAGTCAGAGCCTAGGTAATGCTAGCTACTGTCAGTTTTTCACTGTTAGGTACTTCAGGGAACTAGGAAGACTCTGGAAAAGGTAAGAAAACAAGGCTTCTGGAATACTCAGCAGTGTCTCAACCAGAGAACGTTCCCCTTTCTCTGCTTACTTATATTGGGCTCCTGAAGTAAGGTTTTATTTGTTCCATAGTTAAACAACGTTTGTAAACCAGTAATGAAATATTTACTTGAGAATAAGACAAACAAGACATACTGCATGATAAAAGAAGGTTGTAAAACAGTGTATTTATAAAGTGATCCTATTTTTTCCTATCTCTGTATTGTCTCAAAAGATATGACCAAAAATGAGATTATTGTTAGATAGAATTAAAGATGATTTTTATTCTTTATATTTTGCTAACTTGCATTTTATCATGTATTTTGCACTAAGAATTTAAATAAACACATTTCTCTTGAGAATTTAAAGTATCCTTAAATTTTTTTTGGAAGTCTGCGTTCTTAAATGGCAAAATACAAAACATGCAAAGTAAAATTTTAACATGCACCTTACATAAAAATTTCCTTAAATAAATTGTTCTATTTTATCCTAGATTTTAGATGTAAATGGCAATGTTCTACCTCCTGGACAAGAAGGAGATATTGGCATTCAAGTTCTACCTAACCGACCATTTGGCCTTTTTGCTCATTATATAGTAAGAGACTTATTAAATAACCTCTTATTTCCTACTTATTTCTCAAAAGTGCTTGGTAACGATCCCTATTTGCCATAAAACACACCCAGGATAGGTACTTTAGACATATCTTGAGAGATTCATTGTCCTGAATATTAATCCCTCAGACAAGAAATCAAAGAAACATCCAAATGCTTGTTCTCCCAAGGCTAGATCACTGCTCCAGGCTCATGAAGGTAAGAGAAGGGAGCCGTAGAAAGACAGCCTTTTTGTGTATACTCCTCCTCTACACAGTAAAACAGCACCTAATCATTTTCCTGAAATCTGATTATTCTCCCTTCTTGAGTGAGAGGGATAGAAAATGGGGCAGTGAGATTAAGAAATGTCTTTCACTAGAGGCCTTCCAAGTTCCCTACTGTTTGCAAACCTATTTTCATCTATGATGGAAGTATACAAATTATAGTGAAGTTTACATTGATATAATCAAAGGTCTGGGTTCTACTTATCAGTGAATTTTTAAATTTTTTTAAAGATTTTATTTATTTGACAGAGATAAAAAGAGCACAAGCGGGGGAGCGGTAGGCAGAGGCAGAGGGAGAAACAGGGACAGAACCCAGGACCCTGGGATCATGACCTGAGCCAAAGGCAGATGCTTAACTGACTGAGCCACCCAGGCATCCCTACTTGTCCATGAATTTTACATAATATAACAATACTTCCTTTTTTCCTCCTACCAAAGTTACAGAACCAGTTCTGTTTTTGTGTAAAACAAAACAAAATGTAAAAACAAAGTTTATTCTTTATTAGGTGCCGGTGCTTTCTTTTAACTCTGAATATTCACCTCTCTCTTTTCCTCCCAGTGTTAGGTATTAACCACCCAAAAGACTTAATTACCCCACACCTTGGATCCTCAACTACTGCGGTGTTTAGTGATCCATCAAAGAAAATTCTCAGGGGGGCACGTAGTGGCTCAGTTGGTTAAGCAACCAACTCTTGGTTTCCCCTGAAGTTGTGATCCCAGGGTCAGGGGAATGAGCCCTGCATCGGGCTCTGCATTCAACATGGGGTCTGCTTAAGATTCTTTTCCTCTCCCTGTGGCCCTCCCGCCACTCTCTCTCTCTCTCTCAAATTTTAAACATCTTTAAAAAAGAAAAGAAGGGGCACCTGGGTGGCTCAGTCAATTAAGCATATGCCATATCCCAGGGTCCCGGAATAAAGCCCCCATGTCTCAGGCTCTCTGCTCAGCGGGGAGTCTCCTTCTCCCTCTGTGTCTGCCCCTCCTAACCCATTCGTGCTCCCCCCTTGCTATCTCCCTCTCTCTCTCTAAATAAATAAATAAAATCTTTATTTTTTTAAAAAAGATTTTATTTATTTGACAGAGATCCCAAGTAGGCAGAGAGGCAGGCAGAGAGAGAGGGGGAAGCAGGCTCCCCACTGAGCAGAGAGCCCGATGCGGGGCTCGATCCCAGGAGGCTGGGATCATGACCCGAGCTGAAGGCAGAGGCCTTAACCCACTGAGCCACCCAGGCACCCCTAAATAAAATCTTTAAAAAAGAAAAGAAAATTGTCAGGATGGCAGCATGCCTAGTCTCGGTAACTATAGTTTACCTTTCTTTGACTGGGCTAGCTCAACAATGAAATTTCATCTTTATTTCATGTGCTGCCACCTCTTCATTCCCAGTCTTCTCAAAGAGACCACTTTTTTTACCCCTCCCTTGAACATTTAAAAATCCAACTGAACAGAAGAATCACATGCACAGTAATACTAACAAAATGCTATTTGTTTCACAGGATAATCCTACAAAAACAGCTTCAACACTACGAGGCAATTTCTACATCACTGGGGACAGGGGCTATGTGGATTAAGATGGCTATTTCTGGTTTGTTGCAAGAGCAGATGATATCCTATTGTCCTCTGGGTAATTTTTCATCGGTGCATATGTCTACATTAACTGATCATTGGTGTTCTGAAGTGGATCTGCTGCTCACCTTTATGTGTTTTATTTCCCAATTACAGAATTGGACCATTTGAGGTGGAAAGTGCCCTGATTGAGCATCCTGCAGCTGTAGAGGCTGCTGTTGTCAGCAGCCCAGACCCCGTCAGGGGAGAGGTAAAAAAAAAATTCATCTCCACTTTATAATTTGTTGGCAGTCTAACACAAACTTTTCAGCAGTTCACTGAAACAGAATTACCCAAATGACTGACTAACTCCAAGTCAGACAGTCATTAGTAAATATGCTAGTCAGAAAGAACTGCTATGAATAAGACTGAAAATATATATAAGGAATTTGTATCTTTTCCATAGAGGAATGGTGTGAATGCCAACAACCCAGGCTCACAGCAGGATAGGATGCCAGATATCAGCTAGATGGTATTACGTTATCACCCAGGTCTGGAAACCAACATGGTCTCTAGTGTAGCTGAGGAGGCTAGGCTGGCATCAGATATCAGGGGGAGGAAGGAAGGTCAAAGATAGCAATTAAGGGGGCGCCTGGGTGGCTCAGTGGGTTAAGCCTCTGCCTTCTGCTCAGGTCGTGGTGTCAGGGTCCTAGGATTGAGCCCCGTATCGGGCTCTCTGCTTAGTGGGGAGCCTGCTTCCCACCCCCTTGCCTGTCTCTCTGCCTACTTGTAATCTGTCAAATAAATAAATAAAATCTTAAAAAAAAAAAAAAAAGATAGCAACTAAGGCAACCAGAAGTAGGCTGGGTACATGGATGGGTGGAAGATTCAGGAAATAAGCTGTGAATAAGACAGTCCTAAAAGCTCATTCCTTTTTTTTTTTTTTTTAAAGTAAGCTCTATGCCCAGTGAGAGGCTTCATCTCATGACCCCGAGATCAAGAGTCATATATACGCTTGAAATCTCATTCTTACTGGAGCTGATCAGAGGGTAGTTTGGGTTTAAAGGTTCCAAGCTACTCTACAGGTCTCCTTTGCCAAGCAAGGCCTCCAATATTCCATAGATCAGGGAATTGATTCTGTGATTATTGAAGTTTACCCTTTCACTCTTAACTCCACCAGTAGGATCACAATGTTCTTTGTAATTTGAAGGCCATAGGTCACTACTGGACTTATGCAATGATGGAAATATTCTATATCTGCACCATTTGATACAATACACATGGCTATAAAGCACTTGAGATGTGGCTGGTAGGACTGAGAAAATGCTTATTTCATTTTAATTAAGTTTAAAGTTACAAGTGGCTACCATATTAAATGGCACAACTATAGACTCTTATAAAAATGCAACATTTTGCAGAGAATTTTAGAGAAACTTTGAAGCCAACTTAAGGATTTTAGTTAAAAAATTTTTTTTGTACTTCTAATACTACAACAACTAATACCTAATATTTCTGATGACTTTTTCTGATGTTCCAGGAATTATTAAGCCCTACACAGGGCCTGTATAGGCCCTATTTAATCCTCACAACCTCTCTTTTTGGAGAAGGAAACAAGCACAAAGAGGTATCCTAACATTCCCAAAATTACACAACAAAGTGTGATTTGAACCTGGACTGTCTGACTTTAGAGTTCATGCTCTTAATCATGTTAGGGCAGTCCATATTAATTTATGATCTTCTGTAATGGTTTATAAAGATTTTTTATAGGGGCACCTGGGTGGCTTAGACAGTTGAGCATCTAACTCTTGATTTCAGGTCAGGTCATGATCTCAGGGTCATGAGATTGAGCTCCAAGTTGAGCTCTGCACTAAGTGTGGGGTTTGCTTGAGATTTTCTCCCTCTGCCCCTCCTACAACTCCTGGGTGCATGGGTGTGCTTTCTCTATAATAAGTAAACAAATCTTAAAAAAAAAAAAAAACTTTTACAAAGATACAGTGGATGTTATCCAAGGTGTAGAAGTCATCAATATTCAAGCCAATAATTACAAACATTAGTTCTTAAAATAATCTGCCTCTGAATGAGTCACTTCTAGCAAGGTTAAATTTTTTTATTGATAAAGCAGAAGAGCCAGTATAAACACAAAAACATTTTATGAAATATCAAAAAATGGGTATGATAAAATTATATAGATAGATTGTCTAAACACTCTGGGCAGGGCAGGATTTTCTAAAACATTTCAAGGAAGAGTGAACTTTGAGAACAGGATTTGTGAGCATAAAGTGATGAAGTCCTCCCTGTCTTCTGCCAATTATACAGCAAGACCACCACCATTTTCTACTCTTGTTCCTCAAGGTCAGGTAAATTGGTCGGAGTAATAGCAAAGTGTCTGTTGGAACTTTCACAGCCTTATTATCAACATAAGTACCTCTGGAATGAAGAGTGCACAGCCTGAATGAACTGTTCCCTTCAACAAGGATAGAGCAAACTCAGTGTGAATACTCTTTATAAGGGCCACAATGAGGGTAGGGACCTAGAAACTAGGCTAGACCAGTCTAAGATGTTACTCAAAAGGCTATGCTTAGTGCATTGTTGAGTTCCTAAAAGGAAAATATTTTTTTTCTAAAAGGAAATTTTCTTGAAGGAGATAAAAGATGAGGTAAGAAGTCAAGAGCAAAGACAGCTCAGAAACAGAAGCAGGTCAGAGGGCAGAGTTCAAGATGTAGTTAGATGAGAAAGTTCTAATTCATTAAGATCATTAACAAAGCAGAGGTCCCAGAAACTCTCTTGTATTACAGAACAAGAGTTATGGGACTCAAACTGGCTGACTTAAGAGCACAGAGCTGAGATTAAACACTATGAAGCCTTCTGGCCCACCCCAGCAGGCACTTAGATTCCCAGTTAGAGAAACATAAAAATATACATTCCTGGTGTTTCAAATATTTTTTGCAGGTAGTAAAGGCTTTTATTGTTCTGGCCCCTGATTACATGTCACATGATCAAGAACAACTAAAAAAGGAGATTCAGGAGCATGTAAAAAAAACTACAGCACCTTACAAATATCCCAGAAAGGTAGGTATTCTAATTATGATCACAATTTGCTTAGCATTCTGACAAATTTCAGCTGTTTTTTTTAAATTTTAATAAATATTCTCCTCAAACATGCTACACCAAATATTCCAAACTGAACTAATGACATGGATAAGAATCAGAATCTTTGAGATTAAAATGAAACTCTTGACATAATTTGCTGGGTCATTTGGTTTACTGGACTTGTAGTAAATTCTAAATACTAAGCGACATCTCCTCAGTAACACCCATCTCCGTTTCTGGTTGTTACCAAAACTGACCCAAATGGGTGTCCTAATTCTTTCACCTAGAGATAATAACTGCTATATAACTTACTCTGTCTAAAGATGAAAACTTCTGGGCTAATTTTTTCCCTTGATCCCAACAGGTAGAATTTGTTCAAGAGCTGCCAAAGACTATCAGCGGGAAGATCAAAAGAAATGAATTGAGGAAGAAAGAATGGGAAACAATTTAAATCTGTTCTATTATTTATCACAGTATCTATAAAACAAAGATTCTGTCCAAACCACAAGAGTATAGGGAGGTGATGACAAATGTGGTAATATAAGTTGATTTAAAATATCTTGTGGTTGGGACACCTGGCTGGCTCAGTCAGTCAGGAATGCAACTCTTGATATCAGGGTTCTAATTTTGAGCCCCACATTGGATGTAGAGTACTTAAAAAAAAATCTTTTAAAAAAGTAAAATAAAATATCTTGTGGGTATAACATCAGAGGCTGAATTCTGAAATAAAATATTTAGAATATTTATTTAGAATAAATTCCTCTGCATTAGTGTCAAGGTTCTTATGATTTTAGCAATATGAAAACAATGCCATCAATTGCTAAGAAAATTTTAAAGCATATAGTATCTGAATCAAATTTCTGACCTGTTGGTTGGATCACTCTTCTGACTCGTTGATATACAAAGCAGAACAAATCTTCAAGTTTTGAAATAAAACTAAAAGTTTTATAGTTTTAAAGTTATAAAAGTTTTTAGAAAACTAAAAATATCAGTTAGAAGATAATCATAATTCTAAAAGTCTAAGTATCTACCTGAAAACAGGCTAGGGATTTTTATTAGTTACATTTTTATTCAAGTAACTTAAAAATAGTTTAATTTCAGGGTCTAACTAAAAGAAGAACATCATACTACTGTTGCTTGTATCTAATCAAATATAGTATACAAAATATTTAATTTGTGGTTTCTCAAAAAAGTATGATGAATTTGGCAAGTGTTAATATATAAAAATAAAACAGTGTACAACTATTATCAGAATACTCATGATGTTTGTAAATTCAAGGAACAATCAGGATTCATACATAAACAGAAGACAAATGTTAGATAACTGATGAAATTAGAAGACTGTGAAATTGATTTTTTTCTCTATTTACAGTGTGTGTGTATGTATGTATGTATGTGTGTGTGTGTGTGTATAATAGCCCCAATATAGTCTATAGAACTCAAGATATGCTAAGTCCCCATAACTTGTAGCCCTATATACTTTTTTCTCTTTATCACACAAAAAGTCAAATTAAAGTAAAAACATAGTTTAAATGTAGAGAAAGTTTATCAATTCCTCATTGAAGGTCTGAGTCTCAATGAATTTTTAGAAAAATTTACATTTCTGTTACATATATGGCTTACTTCTGGGGAACTAAAAGTGAGTCCCCTTGGAGAATGAGACAGAACTCTGCTGTTGGCTCTTTCCTTTTGAAGTATTTGTTCCCATTTGAAATAACCACAACACTTTCTGTTTTCTTGGTATTTCCCAACTGGACAACAATAGAAGACTTTTCCATGGTTTGGTCCATTATTAGAAACAACAAGTCTCTTAGATCTTCGGCCACACTTGCATAAAGGAGGTGTCATTTTCCCACTCTTCCAAGGCTCTTGTAGGTTAACTGTAGAAGCTAAGATAGAGGGGAGGACCTTCCAGGAACAATTTCTCACTGGGGAGCCATCAGATGATGTAGGTTTTTCTTCATGAACAGTGAGGGTCTGTTTTTTTGCTGGCAGGAAAGATAGAGGACTGGATAGATTCCTTTCAGTACTACCTAAAAGGTGGGGGTATTTCCCCAAAACTGAAGGATGAGACATAGTGGCATTAACACTGTTAAAGCTACTTGATTTGCATTCAGGTAATTTAAAGTCAGAAACATCTGAATCTGGATCTTTGGCTTCTTCCACATGATAAATAGTAATATGTGGACTCTTATATACGACAGACTTAGAGGTCCCAGATTTTTGAGGGGTTTCTTCTGTGCCTTCTTTTAAAACCATTAATCTTTCTATAGAATTAAATGAAGTATCTAAGTTTGAGTCACTAATGGAAGGTATACAATCTATACTTTGCTCAGGCTGAGATGCTGGCAGTAAAGCTACATCCTCCCAATCAGCCAACATAGGTAAACAATCAAGAGCAGAACTCATTTCTGTATCAGAAACCTGATCAACAGATGAAATGGTAGTCAATACAAGTACCAATTCTGAACCAATTGCTGAAGACTTAGATTTGGTACTAAATGCAAGGTGTTCGTTTCTTATGTGCTTCTGCATAGGTGTATTCAAGCTGGCAGACGGCAACTGCTCCATAGAAGTAGAGGACTTTGTATTAAAAAGAGATAAATAGTTGGGGCGCCTGGGTGGCTCAGTGGGTTAAGCCGCTGCCTTCGGCTCAGGTCATGATCTCAGAGTCCTGGGATCGAGCCCCGCATCGGGCTCTCTGCTGTCTAGGGGAGCCTGCTTCCTCCTCTCTCTCTCTGCCTGCCTCTCTGCCTGCTTGTGATCTCTCTGTCAAATAAATAAATAAAATCTTAAAAAAAAAAGAGAGAGATAAATAGCTTTTGGCATTATGAAGACCTGCTTTTACATTGCTTTTTAGTTGGAACTGATCTTGCTGTACTTTTATAGGAGAATTTACACCAACTGACCTCTTTGATCTTTTTCATGAGAATTTACTGTATTTTTAGGCTCCCTATCATATATGCTCAGACTCTGAATGCTACTGTTGCAGGCTGACCTTTCTTCAACTTGATTCGTATTCAAATTTCTGGTGAAAACGCTGGAATTCTTCTTAGTAGGAACCTATGATTCCACAGACAAATCCAATAGCTTTAGAAACTATACATTCATAATCTCTTTAGTACACATTATATGATTTGACAAAAAAGAAAAATGTCATCATTCGATGATTTATCAAGGATTCCACACATGATATCTATATTTCAATGAACCTACAATTACTTCTGGAGTTTGAGATGACAGGATAAAGAGGCAAGACACCACTAACCTTGTTCAAGGACCTTGTAATTTTCATTAAGCAACCATCCCTGATCATTTTCCAAGCAAGCAGGGCAGTATTCCGAGCATCATTCAACCCGGAGGAAATAGATAACAAACACTGAATTTAATAGTAACAGTGTAAAGAAATGTAGCAAAAATAAGAAAGCATAATTAACCTTGGAACATACTATTAGTTTTATGATCATCTACTAATTTTAATTATGATAAATTGGACTAGCAAATGCTGTGGCAAGCTTACCAACAAAAGACAAGATCTCCCACATTTACAGAGGAGATAAAAACGTGTTGCAGTTCAAAAAAATGCAAGCAACATTCTGTAGGGACCATGCTTTGTGAGTAATCTAATGGTCTTATTCAGTTTTTTCACTAATTCACTAATTTGGGCGTTTGTTTAATCTCCATCTGATTTAGCTAATTCTCATTCTTTTTAGCAACCAGAAAGCCACTAGATGGCAGTCTTTATCTTATACTACGTTATGGTAGTATAATTTGAAAGTCAGACATCTTTGAATTGTATAGACTCAGAACTTCTTTAGCCTGAAAGGATACTCCTTATTAATGACATCACCAAAAATACAAGATTCATATGAAAGACTACAGAAATAAGAAAACTTACATAATAAAATTGAATGACATCACCAAAAATACAAGATTCATATGAAAGACAATAGAAATAAGAAAACTTACGTAATAAAATTACTTTCAATTTATACTAACCAGAATGTTCTAGTCCTAAGAATTCTATTCCCACTTCCTGCAGGGCACCACTCAGTCCTTTTGGTTTTCTTCTATAGAAAATCTAACCGAATAAAAGAAACATATCCAAAAAAAGTTACTATTAGAAAAACTATGTATTAAAAAAAAAAGAAAAACTATGTATTAACCACTTACTTTTCATAATTTTTCGTTCTATTAGATTTGGAATATGCTTATTTTGTTGTCATTTTTACATTCTTTAAGAAATGTATTTATGGGGGTGCCTGGGTGGCTCAGTGTGTTAAAGCCTCTGCCTTTGGCTCAGTTCATGATCCCAGAGTCCTGGGATCGAGCCCCGCATCAGGCTCTCTGCTCAGTGGGGAGCCTGCTTCCCCCTCTCTCTCTGCCTGCCTCTCTGCCTACTTGTAATCTCTGTCTGTCAAATAAATAAATAAAACCTTTAAAAAATGTACTTATGTGAAAGTTTAAAAAATATTTATTTATAGTAACCTATACCCTTGCATGGGATGAAGTTTAATCATTTTTCCATAGAAAGAAAGTGACCATGCCCCCATTTTTGACCCTTACCTTGTAAGTTACTCTGAAATCAATCCAAGAATTTAAGACCATGGGTTTTATCAGCTGTTTTCTTTTACACTCACACTCCAGGCAAACCCCCAGGTCCCAGTCTGCATTAAGTATATTAAAATAGAACAAATCAATGATGCCAGCAGTTTTTGTATTTATAAATATAAATTTAATACTATAAATATATAATATATAATATAAATAAATATAATAAATAATATAATATATTTATATATAAAACATAAATATAAATATATATAAATAATATAACATATTATAATATGTTATAATATATATTATATATAAATATAATATATATAATTATTATATATTATATTATATATATTATATATATTATATAATATATATAATATAAAAAATAATATATATAATTAAATATAAATATATAATATAAATATATAATGTGTAATATACAAATAATATAAAATATATAATATAAATATAAATAATTTATAAATAAAAGGTTGAAATATTATGTAAGATTTAGAAAGAAATAACACATAGAATATAATATTTATATAAATGACACATTGAGGGGCGCCTGGGTGGCTCAGTGAGTTAAAGCCTCTGCCTTCCGCTCAGGTCATGATCCCAGGGTCCTGGGATCGAGCCCTGCATCGGGCTTTCTGCTCAGCAGGAAGCCTGCTTCCCTTCCCCTCTCTGCCTGCCTCTCTGCCTACTTGTGATCTCTGTCAAATAAATAAATAAAATCTTTTTTTAATTTTTATTATTTTTTAATAAATAAAATCTTAAAAAAATAAATTAAATTTTAAAAATGACACATTTATATATATATACAAATTTGTATACATTTTATGAGTATATAGTATACTATCATTACATACTAAATACCAAAGTATAATATGTACTATATAAAGACTATAAACTATACTGTATATACTATAACAATATACTATATAAAAATGAAACAGGATTTAATTGCTGTTAATATCTAACAATTATTCACTTTACATAATTACTATTAAGAAATAAGGTTGGTAACTAAGTCTCAAAATGATTCCTTAAACACCCAATTAAACACACTTAGTATCTCAGAAAGAAGAGTAAGGTATCAAGTTACAAGGCCTGAAGAAGGTTATCTGCTTTCTACATTCTAGAAAATACTAATGTAATTGAGAAACCAGACATCTTATAGAAACCTAAAACCAAATATATGACTAACAATGGCACAGCCTTGCTATCAACGACTATTAATTGCAATGCTGTATCATAGGCACACAAAAGATCTACTTAAATGGCCCATTTTTTCCCAATATGAAAGTATAAGCAAAGGATGTGAGTGGAATGAAGACTCTCTTTAATTCAAGGTTGTAGAAAGTAGCATAAGATTTTTCACTAAATCATCTTTGCCTGGAGCAGAAGAACAAAGAGGTACAATCTAGAAAAATTCTTAGGGCTAAGTCTTAAAAAATTTTAACGTATCCCAGGATGGTAAAATTTGAAAAATATGAATAAATTTATTTTCCTTGGTTAACTTCTGTTAGGCACTAAGATTTCTTTTCAAGGCTTAAGAGGTTAACAAGTACAATTCTTACTACAGATAAAGAATTCACAGTGGTTATCCCACTCATTTATGCTTGATAGATACAACTTGTTTTTTACCTGACCAAGTAACAAATGCACATAATTTTACTTCGGAATTAGGCGGATCTGAAATCCCAGTAGCAAAAATAATTTTCTTCTGTTGCTGAATCTTCTGAACCCATTTACAGAATTGAGATAAGCAAACCCTCAGAGGGACTCCTTCATCTACTTGAGCCTGAGTAAAGTCACAAAATCTGAATTTAACAATCGAATTTCATAATTATGGAATACATCATTAGCACAAAATTAAGCACTATAGAGGCATGTAAAAAAGAAGAGGTTCTGGGCACCTGGGTGGCTCAGTTGGTTAAGCATCTGGTCATAATCCAGGGACCTGGGATCAAGTCCCACATTGGGCTCCATGCTCCCCTGGTTCTCCCTTTGCCCCTCCCCCCAACTCGTTCTCTCTCTCTCTCTCTCTCTGTCTCTTGCAAATAAATAAAATCTTTAAAAAAAAAAAAGAGCTTCTGACTGCCAGAATTTAGAAAAAGATGCTAAAATACATGGAAGAGAGATAATATAATGATTAGAACTCTGCAAGATAAGAAAAATTAGGCTGCTCTACCTAAAATCACACAGAAACATAGTAATTAAATCCTCACTGATTTCCATGAAATTAATTTAATTTCCATGAAATAAGTTTGATATTCATTTTTACAACACTATTCTATCTAATTTTTAAAGACTCCCAACAGAGTTCTGGAGGGAACATTATTTCTAGCAGCACATAAATCTAATTTCAAATGGTATATACTTTTTATTTTCTTTTAAAAACTGATTTCTGAATTTTATTTATCTTTTTAAGGATTTATTTATTTTTAGAGAGAGAGGGAGAGAGAGCATGTGCAGGGTGAGGAGAGGGAGAGAGACTCTTAAAGCAGACTCCCCACTGAAGTTGGAGCCCGATGTGGGGTTCGATCCCAGGACCTCTAGATCATGACTTGAGCTGAAATCAAGAGCGAGCCACTCAGGCAGCTGAGCCACCCACATGCCCCTGATTTCTGAATTTTAATATTTGCGTCATACTTTCTTGGTTTTGGGGGGGGCAGGGTGAGAAGAGAGGTAGGGAAAAGAAAAAGGCATACCTGTTTTATGCCTGTCAGTTCCATGCAAAATTCAGAAAGAATTGGATGTTCTTGAGGCTGAACATAAGCATGGAACTCAGATTCAATCTCCCCAGTTGATGTGTTCAGCAATACTGCTGGAAATTCAACTACACGAAAAATTCAATTGACACTTGAATACATAATTGTTAAATTAATGCTGTTATCACTCTAAATTAAACATATTTAACCATCATATAGCATTATTAGACAGTCACTATTTCAGTAAAAGCATATTAAAATAACCAAAGCAGTGTGATATAATAGTTATAATAAAATTGTACCAAAGACTAAATCAGAATATTAAAGTTGTATCTATCTAAAACTCTTGAATATATTTCTACAATTAAATATTAAGACCATATGGAAGTTAAAATGTATTTCTTTTAGCAAAGGTATTTTTTCTGTCCCTATACAACTGAGATTTTGTATGAAATTCTAAAATAATTTTATATAGTTTTAGATGTTAGATTTTTGTTCTCTTTTTGTCAAGTCAGGTTTTATAGTAAACTACCAATTCATAGGGTATCTTATTTCCTTTAAACTAATTGTTGACTACTTTATATCTATTACAGTGACTCCTCTTGGGCTAGATTTGGCCACTGGCAGTCCAGACTTACTTATTTCTTGGCTCTGATGGCGTTTCCCATCGTTCCAACATGTTGACTCAAAATCAATGACAATTAAGTAGTCAAACAACTGCTCTGCAAAACAAAGGATGTCCTTATGGTTTATCAGTGTTAAAAGTGCAAGGATACAAAATGTAAAAAATGAAGCACAATACTTACTGGATTTGCTTCTTCCTAGATTTCCATTTGCTGGTGCAACTGACTTTTTTCTAATTAATCCAAGCTGCCTAAAATGTAGAACAACCAAGTATGTTCAACAAAAGCATTCACACTCCTGTTTGAATATGCTAGTAAACTAATGTTATAACCCTCATTATTAATGTATTAATGCGAGTGACTGGAAATTGAACAACTTTGAGAGCAGACAACCTTGTGGGTTTTTTTTTAATTATTTTTATAAACATATAATGTATTATTTGCCCCAGGGGTACAGAAGACCTTGGTTCTTATATTGACTGCCAAAATCTCTTTTGATTTTAACAGTCATTAAATTTTAATAGTCATTTTACCTGCATAAGCCTCAAAGTTCATATTTGCAAACTTAAGAGTAATTCCTTCTGCTTTCCTTATTTGACAGTAAATACTGAGGAACGTGAGTGATTGCAGAGGTAAAGATGCATTGAAAAGCTTATTTCTGCCTTTTCATTTTTCAAGCCCTTGCTATGTGCACAGACCAGTTCTGAGGAGATAGTGAAGATCCAGTCTTCCAGGAGCTCAAAATTACAGCTGGGTGAAGAAAGCAGACATCCATGGTAAACTACTATAAGGTAATACATGACAAAGGATCCGCAAAGGGAATACTTGAATTCACAGAAAGGGATGAGCTTCCTTAGGTGTTAAGTAAGACAACTACTTCGAGGAACAGGTCAAGCTTAACTAGGCAGACACTTCCTGTTGTTTGTTTGTTTGTTTTGTTTAAGACCTGTGATGGGAAATGGAAGGACTTGGGAATAACTGCGAACATTTATCTAATTTCTTACTAAATAGCAAGCACTGAGTTCTAGTGATCTCATGTAATCGTCAAGAACTGTAGGAGTTGTTGCTACCTCTATTTTTTGGATGAGAAAACGGATTCAGTAATTCGCCAAAGAACACAGATTTGGTATGTGTAAGCAGAATCGACCAACTCTGAAGCCCATGCTATTTACCACTACATTATAACAGCTCTTTTGAAATCAGAAATGTGTACAGCGCGACCAGGAATCAGGGAGAAGGCTACAATAAATCACAATACGACTTTAACGGATCACTAGGAAGTTGTAGGGTGAACAGCTTGACGGGTGAAGGGGGGCTGCCTGAGACCTCGCTCGGAACGGCCTACCAGGCGCTGTCACGTCCAGTTCGTTTCCAGAGGCCTAGAATGGGCTGACAGTGGCTCAAGGCCACACGGTCCGAACCCTGGTTCTTCCACCCTCGCGCAGAGGGCGGCCTGAGAGCCTCGAGACCGAGATCCAAGCAGAGACCTTTCAGTCGGGGGCAGACAGTGCAGGTGGAAGACGCCCGGGCTGCAGAAAATGAAAGCTGACACCGCGGATGCGCACTTCCCAGGCCCGTTGCGGGCGCCAGCACTCGACCAGGAGCCACCCTCAGCCCAGAAACCCCTCGCATACGCGCAAGCTTCTTGGTTGCCATTCCCGGCGCTCCTGACTCCTCCGCGCCCAACTGCCGCAAGTCGTTAAACTACCATTTCCGGTCCGTTCAAACGCTTGGCGCGTCTGAGAAGGCTGCGGCGGCGCCGGCTTTGGCTGCGACTGAGGCGGCGGGGGCGGCTGCGGCTTCGGCTGTGTGCCCGGCTTCGCGTCGGTGTTTTCGGGGCTCGGGGGCGCGGGGAGTGTTTTTTTGCAGGGAAGTCGTCTTAGCAGCAACTTTTTCCCTCTTTTTCAACGGGCGGAGGCGCGTTTGCGCCGTTGGGGAACCGTTTCGAATCCGGCCTCCAGCGCGTACGGTAAAACCGTTGGTGTCGGTGCGGTTTTCTCCGCTGCGGAACAGGGAGGACAGTTAGCGCTCTCGCTTTTTCGGGAGCGTTGGGAGGGCTCCGTGCACTGAATTTAGGAGAGGATCTGAGGAAGGCTGTAGGCTGTCGAAGCCCCGCCTGCTCACCCACCGGAGGCGGTGTTTCCTCAGCTCTGGCGGTCTCGCCCGTCTTCCTCCACAGCCTCATGGATTCCGGGGGGGGGGGGCACCCCAAGAAGGGCAGGAAGAGAAGGAGGGCCCCGAACATGCTGGTCGGGGCGGCTGAGGCGATGAGATCCCGTCGGGATCTGGAGGAGAGGCAGCCCGTGGCCAAGGTGAGTAACGAGGAGCCCAAGTGGGCGGCCCGGGGAGGTTAGGAGGGGCAAGCCCTCGCCCCAGCCGCCTTCCGGGCCCTGCCTGCCCTGGAGGCTGAGGGTTAGCCTCATCCACCCACTGTCCTTTCGGAATCCTGCTTTCCAGTCCGTAAAATGGGAACGATAATGTTAATACCACCTACCTCAGGGCTGATAATGGCTCTTTAAAACTGGTGTGGTGCTTGGGACCCAAAAAGAATGTTCACTCAACAAATGCTTTATTGTGTCTTCTGTATATATTCCAGTTCAGGGGATATCCCAGTGCACGAACCCAAAATTCCCTGCCCTCATGCAGTTTACATGCCACGCCAGTAAGGGAATAATAAGGCTGATGAGCATCCCTGCGGTGTATTGAGAATTAAATATACGTGGTCCATCCCTTCAGTTATCAGGTTTCTGTTGTCTCTCTTGCTGGGCACTGCCCTAGGCAGTTGAGGAACGTCAGTGAATAAAGAGGTTACTACTTCGTTCCAGTGTAAAGAGACCGAAGACAGACAATAAATAGAAATTATACACAGGTTTCCCCCACTATAGGAAAGTAGAGCGGTCCTGTGAAATTCTGAGCTGAAATGGGGTAAAGCAAAGAAGCATTTATTGACTTATGCTGGGGGGTGGGGGGAGGTGATGGGGATTGGAAGCATTTCCCGACTCCCCAAAATAACCTTTGTTAGGTTTTCTCATATCTCAAGACAGATTTTGCTAACTGATGCACAGAATCAAGATAAAGCGCAGATGTTCACAGACACAATTCAAAGCTATGGGGGCTTCATGCTAAGTGTAGTTCTTGGGGAAGGAGCTTGCTGTGCCACTTTGCTTGGGGTGTGCTGCTTTTATAATTGGCTTGTTGTGAAACAAATGCTGAAGGTAAAAGCGAAGAAAGGCACAGAGCTAATAGGTCTGTTGTAAAAGGGAAGTGGCAGGACACAAGCTTTCAGAAAGCTGGGGATACCTGTAGGATGTAAAATGGGAAATAGTGCTTTGAAAAAAAAATTTTTTTTAATTTAAAAGGGATTCTTTTTTTGCCTATCAAATTGGCAAAACAACTTTTTAAAGGTTAATATGGTGAAAAGTATAAGGAGTAGACCATCTCATCACTCTTTTATTTTGAAACAATCTCAAACTTACAGAAATGTTGCAAAAACAGTACCAAAAACAACCCCAACCAGCATTTGAAAGTGATTGCTGACAATGCTCCATGACCACCCACCCATATTTTAGTATGTGTTTTCTGTAAACAGTGCTGCATAACCACAATGCAACCATCAAAATTTAAAAAAAAAATAACATGGATATATTGCTATCATCTTATCTTCAGACCCCATTCAAGTTCCTCAGTTGTTCCAGTAATACCGTTTTTAGCAATAAGATCCAGTCTAGAACCATGTGTTACATTTAGTTGTCTTGTCTTCTTCAATCCATACAATTCTTTAGTCTTTTCATTGACATCTATGGCCTTACTACTCTTGAAGAATCCTGTACCAGTTATTCTGTAGAATGTCCCTCAAGTTAGGTTTGTTTCTCATTGATTAATTTCGGGTTATACATGTTTGTCAGGAATATCACAGAAGTGACATTCTTTCTCTTGTATTTTGTTAGGTTGTACATGATTTTATTTGTCCCATTCTTGTCTTCTTTTTCTCTAATTCTATGGAGAGATGCTTCCTTGTTAAACTTTTAATTCATTTTTTTATTAGTATGAACTCATTGCCTATTTCATTCAGTAAGTTATAATCCATTACTATATTTATTTTGATGTTCAGAATATCCCATATTTGAACATTAAGCTAGCTTCTGTGTCCTTTGCACATGACCTCATAATTCTTTGAGCGTTTCCTTACTTTTTTGCTACAAAAAGGTGTTCCAGGCTCATCTGTGCTTTTCCTGCCCCAACTCTGGAATCAGGAATTTTTTGGGGGGGATGCTTGGTTCTTTTTAGTAGAGAATGACATTTAGAAACTCAAGGTTCTGGGTACTAGATGTGCTCAGTGCTATTGGGATGTCAATACCCCCAAAAGAAAGCTAGGAAATATGAATTTATATATCTGTATACCTATATACATACACATACATGTTTACATTTAAATATTTTTGTATCCATACATACTAAAATCTCTACTTGCAGTGTGTTTCCACAAGGTTCATTCTTGCTTTCTCTCTTCATGTTTATAATTTCCTTCTATATTCAGTGAGACATCTGATTTGTCATTACCTTCAATATATTTGACCTGTTCTCCATGGTGCCACTGCCCCACACTCCCACACCCTCTTCTCCTTGCTTGGGCTGTGTCATCCTGCACCATGTGCCAGGCCACCCTCCTGTGTGAATGCTTCTGTCACTACTGTGACAGGCTGCTATCCTTCACATATATGGACACCCTCACCCTGTTCAGGCTCTGAATCTTGTGACAGGCCACTGTTGTCCCTCAGTATTGATGCCCTCCTTTCCTTACATACTTTCTGATATCTGATACCAGCCCTCACTGCTCTCCACTGCCCACTGCATGGATGCCTTCATACCGCTCAGGTTTTGACACCCCACAACGAGCCATCCTTCTGCATGTATGCTGTGGGTTCCTACCCTTAGTCCTAGCTCTCTCCCCTATAGCTTCCCTCCTTCCCCCACTCAGGCTTAGGCTCTCATACTTGGCATCCATATTTACTCACTGCCACATAGACCCTACCTACCTCACTTAGTCTCACTTTATCAATCCCATATTTTTGATTAGTAAATATAAATTGGTATATTCTTTCAGAAATTAATAGTACTTGTCACAATTAAATAGTTGACCCTTGAACAACATGGGGGATTGGGGTGCCAAACCACCATCTACCCTCCCTGCCCTGTGCAGTCCAAAATCCATGTATAACTTTTGAGTCCCCAGAAACTTAACTACTTAAAGTCAGAAACCTTACCAATAATACAGGTAACCAGTACACCAAAAACCTTACTGATAACATAAACAGGTGGTTAACACATACTTTGTAAATTACATGTATTATATACTGTATTCTTACAATAAAGTAAGCCAGAGAAAATGTTACTAAGAAAAGCATAAATTGGAGAATACATTTGGGGCACCTGGGTGGCTCAGTCATTAGGCGTCTGCCTTCAGCTCAGGTCATGATCCCAGAGTCCTGGGATCAAGCCCTGCATCGGGTTCCCTGCTCAGCGGCAAGCCTATTTCTCCCTCTCCCAGTCCCCCTGCTTGTATTCCCTCTCTCACTCTCTTCTCTCTCTATGTCAAATAAATAAATAATCTTGGAAAAAAAAGAATACATTTACAGTACTATACTGTATTTACCAGAAATGAGCCATGTATAAGTGGGTCGCACAGTTTAAACCTGTGTTGTTCAAGGGTGCTTATTTTGACCAGGAACTTACTGGAGAATTTATCCAGGTACACAAGAATGTTTGAAAGGATGCATATGATACTGTTTATAATTTTTTTTTAAAAAGTGTCATCAATAGGGAATTTTTTCATATACATTGTAAGTGTTGAGATAAATTTAGAGAATTGGACTATTAAAATTGGTGTTTGTTACATTTAACTGATATGAAAAGATATTTACTAATTTTGGGGGGATGGAGGGTTGCAGAGTTCATTACCAAACAGAATGTATACTCTAATTCTGTAGGGGCAGTATAATATAAAGATAAAGAATTAGGGCCTTTTTTGGGAGGGAGAAGCTTTAGTGAACTCCCTGTTTCCCCAGAATAATGTCAGATTCCTTAGCTTAGACCACATTGATCTATGACCTGACTTCCTCTTTTCTCTACTCACAGATCTCTACTGCTCTGCAACACGCCATCTTGGTTCCAGCCAAACAAAATTACGTGTTTAGACACAATGTTCCACCTTTTCAAGACAACCCCAGTATTTTCATATCAGTGAAGCTATCCTCCAAACTCTCTAGTCCCCAAGGCAGTTAGTCTCTTTACTCCTATACTTTTATAATAGCACTTACCCACTTTGTATTGGAATTACCTATTTCTGTATTTCTTTTCTCTTAGTAGAAAGAACTGGAGAGCATGAATTATGTTTCATTCATTCTGTTATCCCTAGCAAGTAACCAAGTATCTGTAGTAAGGTTTCTTACCAATGTTTATTAAATTTTATATTAATAATGTTATATCACAGGTTGTTGTTTTAGACCTTCATTTCCAATTAATTATATTTGCATATAATCTGCATATATTTAAATATAATATGATTTGCATATATTTAATATAATATGATTTGCTTATATTATATTTGCATATAATTTGCTTTGCTATGATCCTGTTCTCAATAGTCCTAATTTTTT